TACTAAAAACACATAAATTAGCTGGGCATGGTGGTGCACCTGTAATCCCAGCTACTGGAGAAGATGAGGCCAGAGAATCACTTGAATCCAAGAGGTGAAGGTTGTCATGAGGTGACATTGTGCCACTGTATTTCAGTCCTGGGCAACAGATCGAGACTCTGTCTCAAAAAAAGAAAAAAAGGAAAGAAACAAACAAAAAAGGAATGGGCTATCAAGCTGTGAAAAGATAAAGATGTATGTACTATGCTTTGAATACGGATTGGCCCTTCCAAAATTCATGTTTAGTCTTGATTCTCAATGTGGCTGTGCTGGGAGGTGGTTTAAGAGATGATTAGATCATTAAAATGGATTAATCTCTTTCAGGGTTAGTTCTCATGGGAATGGATTAGTTACCACGAGAGTGGGCTGTCATAATCAAGGTTGCCTCTCGTGGTCGGTCCCTTTTTTGCATGCACCCACTTCTCATTCTGCTCATCTGCCATGTTATATGATGCAGTCAGTGGGCCTTCCCCAGGCACTAGCACCATCTCTTTGGACTTCCCAGCCTCAGAACCATGATTTAAAATAATTCTCTTTCTTTATGAATACACAATCTCAAGTATTCTGTTATAGTAATAGAAAATAGACTAAAATATGGAGGAACCATAAATGCATATTGCCAAGGAAAATAAATCAATTTGAAACGGCTACATACGTATGATTCCAACTATATGATATTTTGCAAAAGGTATAATTACGGAGACAATGAAAAAGATCAGTGATTGCCAGGGTTTAAAGGGGAGGGAGAGATTAATAGACAGAACACAGGATTTTTAGGACACTGAAACTAGTCTATTTGATCCTATAATGGTGGATACATGTCATTGTACATTTCTGAAAACCCACAGATTGTGCAACCTCAAGAGTAAACCCTAAGTAAACTATGGACTTTGGATGCTAACAATGTGTCAATGTAGGTTCATCAATTGTTACAGTGCTATTTTTATAGAATTGTGGTAGTGGAGGAGACTGAATGTGTAAGGCAGGCGGCAAATGGGAACTCCCTGTACTGTTTGCTCAGTTTTCCTGTGAATCTAATACTGGTCTAAAACATAAAGTCTATATCAAAAAAAAAAAAAAACAAAAACAAAACCAAAAATGGTTGGCTTTAACATAGATTAGACTATGCTGAAGAAAGAACTGGTGAATGGGAATTAAGATCTGATGAATATATCCAGAATAGATAAAGAAATAGAAAATACACAAAATTTAGAGATAAGGAAGCTAGTGTTAGAAGATTTAACACATTTCATTAGAGTTTCAGAAGAAGTGAAAAAGGAGAAGCAATGTTTGAAAACAAAATAAATTACAATTTTCCGGAATAGTGAAAGGCAGATATTTGTAGATTCAGAAAACTCAATGAATTATCAGGCAACTTAAGTAAAAGAAATTCAGAGTTAGACCCACTATATGCACCAAAGACAAAGAAAAGGTCTTAAAATCATGCAGAGGGGAAACAAAGCGATGACCTAATAGAAATAATAATTTGATAGCTGACTTCTCAACAGCAACAGTGAAAGGGAGAAGACAGTGGGGACAATCCCCTCAAAAAACGAAGAGTTTTTACTGTCAATTTAAATTTTACGTCCACTGAGATCATCTTTGAAGAATGAGGGTGAAATAAAGATATTGTAGGAAAAAGATACTCAGCTATACCTCAAATACTAGACAATAATGTGTGTGTGTGTGTGTGTGTGTGTTTGAAATCAAAGTGATCCAAAGTCCATGCGTTTCCCAGGTTAAAGTTGTTTACCTTGAGACTTTACTGAGTATGGATATTATCATTACAGGTAGCTATTAAAAGAATACATACAGTATATAAGTTTTCAACAAGAAGCTTCAAAAAGAGAGTAAGAGAAAAATTCTAATCACATGAAGTAGACAAGAAAGGAAGAAAAAAAAAAACCCCAGAAAAATCCGGGGTAATACTAAGTACAAAATAAGATGTTAAAAACAAAATATACAGTCATATTCAGAGTAAAAATAACAGGCTGGGCATTTTGGTTCATGTCTGTAATTCCAGCGCTTTGGGAGGTTAAGACAAAAGAATTGCTTGCGGCCAGCGGTTAGAGACTAGCCTAGGCGACATAGTGAGACCCCCATATGTACTTTAAAAAAAATTTGCCGGGCATGGTGGTATGAGCCTGTAGTCCTAGCTACTTGGAAGGCTGAGGCAAGAGGATGGCTTGAGCCCAGAAGGTCGCGGCTGCAGTGAGCCATGATCGCACCACTGTCCTCCAGCCTGGGTGACAGAATGAGACCCTGTCTCTAAAAATTTAAAAAAAAAAAAAAAAAAGAAAATTTAAAAAATTTAAAAAGAATAAACTTGCAGTTAAAAGATAATAATTACTAACTAGATATAAAGACAACAAAATCTGCTTATATGTCATTTACAAGTGGCAAATGTAGAACATAAAAGCATAGAGAGTTTGAAAGTGAATGAACAGATTTGTCAGGGAAATACCTGAAAAAAGGCAGTACAGCTGCGTGAGCACAAGATAAAAAGCAGAAAGCATTGCATGGTGATCGATAGTTCAATTCACCAGGAAGTCACATACAGAATTTTTGTTTACACTTAATAATAAAGTGTCAGAATATATAAGGCACAATTCGCCAGAACAATGAAAAGATATTGACAAATCTGCTCTGAGAAGATTTTAAAACGTTCTTCTTAGTAATTGATGGATGCAACAGACCAGATAACAGGCTGCAGGCAGAAGATTTGTGCAACATACTTAACAAGCTTGTGCTAAGGAACATGTATAGTACGTTGTACCCAAGCACACATAAACCATCTGTAAAAATGGACCACACATCAAGCCATAAGTCTCAAGTACACTTCAAAGGCTCAATTCTCATGGACTCGGGTCATTTCAGTATCATACCAGCCAAGATTCCTATGATCAAACAAAATATGAGGCTTAAATGTTCATTCTCCTCCTTGAGGACCTACTGTAAAATCTTAGTTCATAGTCTATCATGTGGCAGGTTAAATCATGTCTTCTGTAAACTACCAAATGCTGTGGTTTGTGTTGCAATTGGCCTATTACATGGGTCTTTGCCCATTAGTAGCATTATACAAGAAATTATGGAGTTTTTATAAGCTGTGATACAGGATTACTGTCCTATATTATTGATTATATATTATTATTCATAACATATATTATCCACATACTCCTTCTCTAGTTCCCAATTTCACTCCAGTTTTTCCACTCCCTGCACCACATGCAAATATCTCACTAAACTTTTCATAAAGAAACAAATTTTGCTGCATTTTCAGGATCTAAATAATCCTACTCAGGTATGGGTAATACTTGTAAAGACCTTTCAGCCAGACACCAAAGATTGCATTACACTTGAATGAAAATCACAGAATAGGATCCTCACAAAAACTATTTTCCTGGACTTGGCTGGCTCTGTCTGTCAGCAGTTTCTTAATGTAAGTGACTCCATTTTGATTCTGACAATTTTCACACGTCTCTTTGCTGACATCTTTCCTGTATTGTACCAGAGATCTGCATAATGACCATGATTTAGTTAGGTATCAGAAAAATGGTGTTTTTACCGCATCTGATATCAAAAGGAACATAATAAAATGAGAACTGGAGTTACTGTTGATGAGATTAAATTGAATGTAAAGCAAATTTACCTTCTATCCTATTTCAAGCATATGCCCCAGAAAAAATTAAGAACACCCTGCCAGTTTTAATTACTAAATATTTTGCTTTTAAAACTATTTTTTTTTCTTTTTAAAGGTTCATTTAGACTTCAGGGGCGTCCAATCTTGTAGCATCCCTGGGGCACACTGGAAGAAGAATTGTCTTAAGCTACATATAAAATGCACTAACACTAGTGATGATAGGTGATGAACAACAACACACACAAAAAAAATTGAGAAAAATATCGTAATGTTTTTGGGACAGTGTCTGGCTCCGTCTCCTAGCAGAGTGCAGTAGCATGATCTCAGCTCACTGCGGTGTCCGCCTCCTGGATTCAAGGGACTCTCCCGTCTCAGCCTCTGGAGTTGCTGGGATTACATGCATGCGCCACTACACCTGGTTAATTTTTGTATTTTCAGTATAGACAAGGTTTTGCCATGTTGGCCAAGCTGACCTCAAACTCCTGACTTCAATTCATCCATCTGAGTCCGCCTCCCAAAAATGCTAGGATTACAGGTGTGAGCCACCGTGCCCTGCCAAGAGCTCCTAATATTTTAATTTGTGTTGGGTAGCATTCGAACGGGTCCTGGGCCACCTGCAGCCCGTGAGTTGAGACAGCATGATTTAGAGCTTACTTTTCTCCAAATATTAAAACATAGCATTATCTTCCTTTATTTAAAAAAATGCATTATTATTTTCCACTCTAAGAAGATTTTGAGGATTTTTACAGTTAAAAAAAAACACAAAAATACAAAAACAAAAATAGAGCCATATAAATAAAATTAAGAAAATGTAAAAGGCCTATCAGAAGCCAATTTGAAAGAGAAGAGATATAGGTACCAAGAACCTAGGATAAACTGGGCGTTAAACTTATCTCTGAGGGAAAACATTTCAGGTTGAAGAATATACATAAGATTGCCTTTTCCTGCCCCTACATTTTTATTTACAGGATACTTACAGCATTGTAATAATAAGAGAATTCAAAAACTATCTAAATAACTGTATTTTTCAATTACTGTTATTCAAGCATTATAAAAGCAAAACCAAAACAGCCTGTGTCCAGGACTCCAATCAATCAAGCAACCGAATTCCAGGGAAAGGAAACAGGCTCTGCTTGTCACGTTTTCTCGCTCTCCTCTCTCGATTTTCCTGCAAATTCTGAAGGTTATAGAGGTAGAGATGAAAAATCTATCTGAGGTCACCAAGACTTAAGAAGGGATGGAATGTTGAAAGCTACTTTTAATTATAGTGTTGATTTCAAGATAGAAGGACCCAATAATCTTTCTAGAAATACCATCTTCAGGAAAAACGTTTAACTTTTATTCACATGATGCTTCTTAACATAATAAAATAAATGAACCTAACACAGCACTTTAGGTAACCTGGAAGGGAAGGTACATTCTGTTTAGGTGAAAATACATAGGAGCAATATGTACATTTGGGCAGATATTCTGAACTCTATTGGGTTAATGTTTATGGCTGCACTTGAGCACAACAGTGAGAAGTTTCCCATCACATTTTATCTGAAATGAACAAAATGTCAGGGTAATCTACTAGCAAAACCTGCGCTCCGGGTCAGCGGTGCTTCTCCCTCTGGCACACTCACCATGCCCCTCCCTAGGACACGTTACCTCTCTTCTTTTGCAAAGCTTTCATGAGGTCTGACATGAAATCTTGCTCCCCTCCTCCTGCCCCGCTGGGGGTCCCTGGGTTCTCGTGCCTCTTGGGGGGCATAGGAGGCCTCTTGGCCACCGCGGGAGACGGCCTGGCGGAGT